TCAAAAGAACGAAAACAACATAGTCCAAGTACATCTGGTGATCCACTGATCACAAGCAAAGCTAGGCATAAAAATATACCTAACCTAATCATATTTTATGATATATATACACTTTAAGAATATTATTTCGAATTCCCATACATGTCCATGAGAGTCGTCTCTCTATGATCTATGAACTAATGTACGAATATGTATTTATTTTAAGACACGTATCAATAAATTATTTATTTAATTGCTAATGTCATTTGATAACTCCATAATAAAACTGTTCACTTTGTACAGTACTAGAAAATATATACTCCACAAATAAAATAAAAAAATAAAAAAATAAATACTCAAGCATAAGCATTTCATAAGTGCATTAGGCAAAAACTACTTTATTGGACTTCATTCTCCAAAGCTTAATCAATGATTAGGGCTTGGGCCAAAAGCAAGATTGGGCCACAGGTGAAGAAAAGAAAGATGCCTTTTCACTGTTTATTCATCTTACTTGGGATGACAAAAACACTACATTACAAAGCTTATCAATGTTTGACCTTTTGGTCTTCAAACAGTTTCATGTCTATTGGCAAGAAGAAAGAATATACTACATAAACTTAACCAGCAAACAGAAACTGAAAATAACTGTATCGAACCCAATCAGAATCTTATAACTAAAGAGCAAAATTTGGCATCAAAATAAAAATGATGTATATATATATATATATACAGAAATACTTAGTTAAGATAACATTCTTGCACAAAATCATAACACATTTTCAGATTATAACTAACGAGCGAGCAGATTTATATACACGTACCTATCGAGCCGTGTCACAATTCCTCTTATGCATAAAAAATCACTTGCATTTTTCACAGTAACACAAAGAAGGCACAGTTTAATAAAAGGGGAACTGAAGATACTCGGTTATTTTTGTCTTCTTTCCTAACTTGTTTAGTTTTTCTAGACTTTTAACAGTTTTCTAGGTTCTTGAAGTTATTGTACCTTTCAGTTTCTGCTTTATAAGGTTCATTCCTAGTTTTTCAAGTTGTTTTAGTTTCCGATATTTATATATAAAAAACCACGATTTAGGTATTGAGGACCTTCGCCATTTGGATATCTTACCTCCGGAAAATAATCTTCAAAGCAAAGAAGATTAGCAACTGAAAATGCACCAAACTCCAACTTCCTCACAAAGCAAGAAAAATTCAGGGTGTTAGGAACCTGGGAGCCATTGCGTGGCTACCGCGATTTAACTGGAGGCAGTTTCTGAGGGGCCGGGAGCTGTTTTTTCGAGGAATAGTCAGGCGCAAGCCTGAAACCTCAGTATCAAA